ATTTGGAGCTCGCAGCTTATGTACAGCCGTGGAAATTTAAGATGTTCTCCGACGAGTGCGCGCTTATTCAGCGAAAGGCTTTTTATAACGACTACTAGCCGAGTGAATAAAATTTCCTTGACAATTATACTCTCCCTATCATCTTTCAATCACCTGGACTGTGAGTATCCCATTAGGTTATGTCTAGATGGGATACTCGCAGTCCAGATGATTAAGTTATTCATATTTAAACTCATAAATATTTGTTATAGCTACATCTATGTTAACGTAGGGTACGACTACTAGCCAAGTGAATAAAATTCAAATGAGAATTATACTCTCCCTAGTCTCTCTCAATCACCTGGACTGCGAGTATCCCTTCTAGCCATTACGTTACGAGATGCCTATATGGCATACTCGCAGTCCAGGTGATTGAATTTGCCGTATTTAATCTCATAATTTTTTATGATAGCTAAATCTATGTTATCGTAAGGTACGACTACTAGCCGAGTGAATAAAATTCCACTGGAAATTAAGCTCTCCCTAGCCTCTCTCAATCAAATGGACTGCGAGTATCCAACTTTAATTTTCTCAGCCAATAAGAGTCTTTTATTTCTTACTGGTGGGGAAAAAAATCTTAAAACGGGCTAAATTCAAAAAATAACCACGCAGAGCGAAAGAAGTGCTATTTCTCAATGATCGGGTAAAATTTCGAGGCTTTATTTCACGTTTCAATGATTCTATTGAAATTTTTGATGAATCTCCATACATTTCCTTATAACAGGACACCACAGAAACCAAGCTTGGGCTACCTGTGCTTATATATGTTTTGTGTTTAAGCTTTTTAAAAAAAAAAAATTTTCTCAAAATAATAATGATAATAATATCAATTTTTTTTTCTTAAAATAATAATAATAACAATAAAAAGTCACACGTACTATGTCAGTTCAAAGATCCCCACCCCCCACCACCCCCTTCACGAAGGAGGTTTTATATCTGATATTGCTGGTTTTGAATTTTTGAATCACTCCCAAGAGATTGAAATAACAAAAGACACGGCGGCCATGTTGGAGGATATAACAAAAGAGACTAATGACGAATCTTTTGTTAAATTCATCCAACATGGCGGCCGTGAAAACCATCAATGCATTCGTCCTCATTTGCATACGTTTTAACCTGGATTTTCTCTATTCAACTTGGTTCATTTTGTAAATCGACTTATCTACCGGATAAGGATTTATCCATCGGAAAGCGCTATCAACCTTTCGTACAACTGAGTCCAGAACGCTAATAAATTTATAACAGTTATTCTATATCATTTTTTAAAGTGGCAAATATTTACTATGATCATGGATGAAGTAAAATAGTTCTGAAATTTGTTGAATTCTCGATGTCAATCTAGCAACCTCAAAGAAACAAAATCTGTTCAAGCTGAATAAAACGTATCATTGAAGGAGGTGTGGGATATAGTTTGATTCGGAAATTTTTGCATACGCGGTTTTTCGGATAACGTCTTTTTCGCGATTTTGGGGTTTCGTCTAGAAGCGAGGATTCTTAACATTTTCAATTTTTTTTTCGATTTTCAAATTCCCGGATTGTGGCGTATTTTTGTTTCTGTGTGGGATTTGTGATTTTCAGCACATTTTCCAGCGATTTTTTAAAAAAAATGGATTGTAACCGATTTTAAGTTACGGGGCAAAATGTTTTTAGTAAGCATCAGTTTCTGGTCACCCATCCAAGTACGAACTTCTTCAACCGGACTTGACTCAGTGCCATGAAATGAAAGCCCAAGTTTTTTCCACTGGACCACGGTTC